ATATAGGAACGAATTCAGTGACATGAGATGGCCACAGATGAACCCAGTACAGAAGCGCTAGGATCTGGTTGACTGAGTGAAGCTGACAGCTCAAGGCACACGAACGACCTACGTAGAGGCTTTCACGCGCACTACCACGTCTCGACCCATGGCCGCACATCTAGTTCATGGGTCCATGCCGTCTTGGGTTGATGGTGGACCTGCACGTAGAGCATTCCGATGTCTTCTGGTCGAACAAGGCCTGGACCAACCCATTGCACCCGATCAGTGCAGAGAAATTGATTGTGGCAGGACGAACCATCTTGCGCCAACCTTTCTTTGGCTTGGGGAAAGTTTTCGTGAATCCAAGGGGTGTCGATCGCTCCGTCCACAATCAAATGAGCGACGTGAATGCCTTTCGGCCCCAACTCCCTCGCCATGCTCTGACTCAACGCGCGCAGTCCAAACTTGGCGCTCGCGAATGCAGCAAACTCGGCGCTTCCGCGAACGCTTGCTGTCGCTCCTGAGGCCACTGCGTGAGAATGGGACGTGTTCCATCGCGCTCGTCGAACCTGTGAATATGATCGTGCCGTGTTGCCGAGGCAACATCCGACACGCCACCTCCTTTCCGACGAGGAAGCCCGAGAAGCATGCCATCTCCCACACCTTGCGATACACCCGAGCAGTCGTGTCTGCACGAAAAGCGTCTTGATGAAATCACAATGGACGGCGGGATGATGCCCGTACCAGTGATGGGAAACTTTACATTCGCGCCAACGTTGAACACGGCGACTTCGATCGGACCTAGCGTGCGTTCGATGTCGTCAACGAGTGCCACGACGTTGGACTCGTCGCGGCAGTCCACCCCAAACCCCTCTGCGTCGTGTCCCGCAGCTCGGATCGACTTCACGATCTCTTGCACCTTGGCGCCATCGCGACGCACGCAACAAGCCATGAATCCGTCGGCAGCAAACGCTCGAGCGACAGCTGCGCCGGTGCTATCCCCAGCGCCAACTATCAAGGCACATTTCTTGGATGAGAGGAAGCGGCGTGAATTTCTCACGTGGTGCG